AAAAGAGCTAAAGAGTTGTTTCACTTGGCCGAAAGTTGTTGGAAGAGAAAACATTCATTTTCCAGCAGTTTGTGAACAAACAAAATGTTCGTGTTTACTTGCCAGAGAGGTCAGCTGTAAATGTGCATCTTCGGTTGGCCACCAGAACTAATGCGCCGGCCATGGTGATGGTGTGGGCCGCCATAACAGCCGATGGTCGCTCTCCGCTGGCATTAATCGACCGTGGCATCCGAATAAATCCCGATTATTACCGCGAAAATATTCTGGAGTATGTATTTAAGCTTTGGGCAAGAATACATTTTGCTCGCAAACCTTGGACATTTCAACAGTACTCAAGTTTATGTGTAGGTCCCGTATTTGCCATAGTCTCTATAGGGTGGTACCTGCAAATCTATGGAATTTTTATGATTTCGGCATCATTTTCTGGCCAAATGACCTGAAACTTCTTTTTTTCTCCTTAGATATCTTCCAAAAATAAAGATAATTTTTTTATACTTTTTATGGGCTAGGAGTTTCCTGCAGATATAATACCTATTCAATTCGCCTAACAATGGCATGTTGTCTTTAAATAGTTGACATTCTGAATAGATTATACAGGGTTGCCCATATTCGAAGGACCTTTGGGCCCTTTGGGCCCATTCCAATCGACGAGGCTTGTCCGCAGGCAACATTCTTTGCGTCAATTGAATTTTGTACGGGAACAAATGCAAATCAATGCGAATAATCCGTTGTAATGTGGACCGAGCCATGAACAACTGCTGAGAACGGCGTTTTTGGGATGTTCTTGGGGACCTCTCAACACTGGCTCGTACGGCAGCGATATTTTCGGCCGATCGCCTTGGTCGACTTTTATATGGCCTCTTCGGATTAGAAAGAGCCTAACCAGTCGAAAATGTTTCGTATAAACGCTTAATGGTGTTCTTAGAAGGCGCACTTCTCACATTTTTTAATGTTTTAAAAGCACGTTGAGTTTTCACAATTGACTTCTTCTGTTGAATGTAAATTTCAACTATTTCAGAGCGCTCGCGTGGCGTGTAAAAATCTGCTTGGACTGACGCTTCAAACGCGGTATGTCATTAAGCGATGTGACATCTCTGTCAAAAGTTATGGCGTTGCCAGGTGGGTCCGTCGAATATGGGCAACCCTGTATATAGTATTCTTGCAAGTTTTCTATATTAAACCTTCATGCGTAAAACAGTTGTTCGAAAATATTGCACTTGCTTATATAAATTCTGTTTTTTTATAAATTTTAATTTTTCTCTTGCATATATAAATATACATGACTTATTTTTATGTTATCTTTTTCGCATCTCTACTTCCTTGCCTTTGGCACTGTTTCATATTCATCAAATGTGCATGAAGAAATATTTCATTGAAGTTATCGGTGATATTTCTATTCTCATAATTAATGCAGATTTCTGACCTCGGCAACACTGTTGAACAATTAGCTTATTAGGGTGACATGATTAATGGTTTTCTTTAAAATATAACAAATAACGTTAATAAACTCGATCAAGCTGAAATTTTTGATGTCTTATACCCTGAGATAAAAATTGCGTTCAGCAATTTCCCTTTCCCTTGTCTTATAAGAGATTAATGGTTATTGTTACTGGAATTAGTGCAACTTTATTGTCAACTTTGCATCTGACCTGTATTTTTACATGGAAAAATATATCCACCTCTGAATATGGAGATTATGATTTTTCAAACAGTTGGGAAAGTTCCGAAAGTGGACTGAGATTATAAACACCTGACTTAAACGTCATACAAATATTAAAATGTCATAAGTTTCAAAGAAATCGGATACCTTTTTTTTGAGGGAAGTACAAGAAGCAGTTGGACTAAATATTCCATCATTACGCCACTCCTAATGCTGGTAGAAACTTTAACATGTGCAAATATTGAAGAAAACGAAAATTTTTGCATTTTATGAGAGTTATGATCATTACCCATTTTTTATCTCTAAAATTAGTGTACGTTTAGTAATAGCCCCACAATTAACCTCACATGCCCTTAAAGGTGTTGCCACCATGGTGAAATATGGTATTTATGACCAACCTCCCTGATAGGAGTGGATCCTATCTAAACTTCTGCCTGGTTGAATATGCAACACACCTTGGATATAAACCACAGCAACGGCGATGCTCCTACAACGGGCCAACAACAACTGACAGCCTAGATCCGGGGGTCTAGGGGCACCGGGCAACCACGGTACCAGAATAAAGCCTCCGGTTAGGCTTCGTAGCATCTCAACTACCAATTGCACTCCAATAAGCCCGGGACTGGTCAACCGTCATAAAAAATCATCAGCAACAGACTACATAGTACAAAAAATTAGCAGGACTACCCTCACGGGCAGCCTACACAAGAAGAAAACACTAATACACGTCCAAAATCCCAAAAACCAACAGGATACACAGCCCACGGACCTTGCTGAAATCCCATCATGCCCCTCCACACGTAATACCTATATTTGCTAAAATGCTAATAATATTCTTATAGCGGGATTTCGTCAGTATATGCACCACGACCTCAGTCAGCCAGTACTTAAGCCGAAGCGACTGGTTCAGGGCAAATGTAGGGTCACAATCCTGCACAAAAGCAAATCCGCTAACATGTTCTATGAACCAACGCAGTTGATTCTATGAACCAACGCATGTGCACCATAATCCGCAAAACATGCTTGAGCATTTCCAACACAATTGATAGCTTCTCTTTAATATGACCGAAGTTCCCCTTGAAATTGTACTTGCCTATCGTATGCCACGTTCACCAGCTCGTCTAAGCGAAGGTCGATTATGAGCCAGTCTGCCGTTCAGCATCATCAGCCATGTCTTGTCATTCGCAACCTCAACGCCTGTTCACCTGGGGTCTACAGTTGGTCATCAGCATAAGCCCAAACGTTGAAGGACGCCGAAAGCTTGCGCGACAGAGGATCCATCATGAGGTTCCAAATATATTGTGCTAAGTCAGGTTCGATAAATGGACAATATCGACCCACTTCATCAAGTATTTCCCCCCACAAAGGTCAATAATAATTACTATAACTCTTATAAAATGTGGAATAAGAAACCGATTGTCCTCAAAGCTTACACATCCCAATATTTTTATTAATACAAGATCTGTTGTGAAGATGGGATGTATCGGCCCAATCCTTCTGGTACCTCCCCCACAAGGGATCAAAATTTTCAATCGCAATGAAGCTTATAAAACGTGAAATGAGCATACGATCTCTTTCAAATTCGACACATACTAATATTTCTGTCAGCACAAGATCTGTTAGGAAGATGGTTGATGTCGTCCCACTCCTTCTGGCACCTCCCCCACAAAGGGTCAACATTTTGAATAACCAAAACGATCATAAAATGTGAATTTAGTACCCTCTTCACATATCACATATCTCAATATTCCTACTAACACCAGATCTGGTGTGAATATGGAAAAAGGCCAATATTTTGAATTATTATATCTCGAAAATGCGAAACAAGTCATCGATTCTTTTCAAACTTGTAAATGAAATGTACTTCCGTACAGGAAGTAATCAATATATACCAAATCTGGCACCTTGTCATATATATGTCAGACCTAGGTCATATACATGATTGACAATATTGGCCAACTCTTTAAGTTCGGTTGGGTTGCAGTAAGTTCGGCCGAGCCGAACTTTGCATACCTTCCAACATTTGCAACGAATTTGGAAATAAAAAAAAATAATAACAATAAAATAAAAAAGAGAATCCGTTAAAACTCCGTTAAAATGTTATAGGAAGTTGCGGTTGTTTTGGGGTCTATACGAAGACGTGGACCTGCATAGGCAATTTTTTTGTCACAGGCTGTATTACCAATTACGAAGTGCACATACAATATTTGAAACGATTCCGGAGAATAATGCAGCTAAAAACATCAAAAACAGAATATAGGGAGGTGTCGTTACATAGGGGCTATACGAAAACCTGAACCTGCATAGACAAGTTTTTGTCATAGACTGTAGTACCCATTAGGGAACTTTAAATATGAAATTTGAAACAATTCCGGTGAATAATGTCGCTTATATCATCAAAATACCAAATATGGAGAGGTTCTGTTATAAGGGGGCTGTACGAAGGCCTGGACCTGAATATGCAATTTCCTGTCATAGACTGTAGTATTTATTTCGAATTTCAAATACGAAATTTTAAACAATTCCAGTGTCCCTAAAATCATCAAAATACAGGTAGGCAGGAGGCACAGTTATATGGGGGCAATATGAAGACCTGGACCTGTATAGTAAATTTTCCGTCATAGGCATAGGTTCCCATTAGGAACTTCAAATTCGAAACTTGAAACAATTACGGTGAATAATTTCACTAAAATTTTTAAAATACTGGATATGAGGAGGTGCAGTTTTATGGGGCTATAACTAAACGTGAACCTATATAACCTATATAGCGTGAACCCTATACCAAAAGTTCTGCAGACGAAACACACATATGAGTAAAATTTTGTCAACCTACTTCAGTATGTGTGAAAGCTAGAGTGATTTCCACAGACGGACGGACTGACACACAGGACGGATAATCATCGTTAAATCGACACAGAATTTTATGCTGATCAAGAATATATATACTTTGAGGGCTCTAAAATGTATATTTCGAAGTGTTAATATACCCTCCATAGAATGGTGGAGGGTATAAAAAAAAAGGATTCCAACGAATCTTAATCCGAAAGAAAGTTGCTCCCTCTATTTAGATTTCTTTGCTATGTAAACTTTTTAAACAGCAATACGCGTGACGTCATTTTTGGCTCTACTTTTATAATCTATAAAGTTTTTCCGTGATTATTTCATGTATTAAACCAAAAATATACCTTAACGCCCCTCGATCGCGGCAGGAAACATTAAAAACAACACTCTACCATTAATCAACAATTTTTTTTTCACATTTTCACACAAGAAATCAGACATCCTGCTCTCTCCCACATTTAATCACTTATTTTCGATGATTAGCTGACATAATATTTACCTTTTTGATATCTGGCATTCAAACGCAATACTTTTCGAATTCTTTTGTTGTTATTCTTGCAGTCTGCATCGAAATTCTTGTTATTATCCGAATTATTCTCTTTTGGATGGTGATTGAAGTTTTATTTTTTATTTATGACAATTTCAAGTTTGTTGTTGTTGTTTGGCGTGCCGTGTTTTGTTTTTATTTCTTTTTGTTGTCAATTTCAAAATTCTTCGATTATTCTCTAGAAAATTTATGTTTTTTGATTTGCACTTTTTTCTGTTTTATTTTATTTATTTTTTCATTCTTTTCGGGAAACAAATTTTCTTTCTTTCTTTCTTTCTTTGTAACTGGCCACGATTTATTCTTGATGATGGATATTCTTTGCTTCTCGTTTGTTTGTTGTTGTTTATGTAGTTTACTTCTCTTGAGTATGTGTGTATGTTTGGCTTTCAAAATATGTATAATAGAATTTATGTATTGTTGTTGTAACTGCTGTTTTTTGCTATTTCCACCACCACTACGCTCCAACTGAACACTACCACACCTCACACTTTTGTTGTTGTTGTTTGTATTTTAGACGGTTTAACTGCTGCTGGGATAAACGAACACCGTAAGACCAACCGAATTGCCAACAACAAGTGATCGAGTCAGACAAACTGACAGGCAAATAGACGGAACGGATGATACCACACCACACGAAAATTTCATATAAGAAAAAAAAAAAAAATACACACTAAAGGAAAAACACCAACAACAACAACCCAACAACAGCAACAATTCACGGGGAAAATGCAAATAGTTTTCTTTTCTTTGTTGTATGGTTGTTGCTGCCACTACAATTGTATTTGGGGGGTTTTTCACTTCTCCACTTTTGTGCTACTGTTAGACACCTTCAAGTAATTGGAGTTTTTTCTTATTTGTTGTTGTTGTTTTTAGACCCACTCACGTTAGATGCTCTTCTTCTACGGCGATTTTCTTTGTGACTTTTCAACGTTTAGCTAAGTTTATCCGCTTCGATGTACTCTCAATGGCAACGTTCCACTCGTAACTGTTGTTTCCTAAGCTAACAGCGTTTGATAATGGCTGAGACCCGGTCTGGTTCCATAGCCACAAAGCTGATGCCTTTCATTTAGTGCTCTCAGGTTCTCTCACATGTATTCAAAATCACTCACTCTCTTCCTCTCTATTTTACAGATAATTAATTCCACTTGCAAACAAAGCCTCTGACTTACATTCCCAAACACGGAGTCCGAACTTAATTGTTGTTGCAGCCATAACCGTGGCTTGTAGTTGTAAAGTGTAAAGTGAGATCATCTAACCAGCCGGGCAGGCAGGCAAGCAGGCAGTCAGTCAAGCAACAAGCCACCTCACAAATGAACTTCCTCACACCACACGCTCTCTTGGGCATACCCATATGGGTATCGATGGATGTATGGATGGATGTGAGTATGGCCGCCCAACAACGCCACCACCATTAGCCACATGAGTTCCCAGCCCCATTCACTTGTTTGCTGTTTCACTTGTTGTTGTTGTTCTTTTTGTTGCTGATACTCATTTTTGGTTATGTCCGCTTCCATTGCCGTTGTTGAAGTTCTATTCGCTGGGATTGTGCACTTGCTTTGCATTTGTGTGTGTGGGAGAGTATCTCTGTTTTGGTCTGGCTGCTGTTAAGTCCAGCTTATACACTGCTGTTATGTCAAGTGTTGCCAACCACAATTATTTACACTTTCCCGACTCCACAGTACAGTAAGACTGAACAGTACAGTAAGAGTATTTGTTAACATTGGAGTCTGAGCATTTTCTGTGTACAAGAGAGGGAGATGTAGACTCCATATTAAGATGGTGTTGTATTTCCAATTGGAATTTTAGCTATTTGGATTTGTTTAAAAAAATATGTCAATATTCTCTTTGCAAATAGTTAACAGAATTGCCAATGGAGGTCTTTTTTCGTTGGTGTTCCTATTCTAACGTTTGTTTTCTAAGTCTTTTGATTTCTGACAAAGGAATTTAGAGACAATCGTGACCAAAGAACAAGCCACAAATTATCAGATTCGCGTTCAAAATACATTATTGTGATTAAATTTCGAAATGAAAAAATTTAGTTCGATGTCAAAATATAATATTCATATTGAAAAAAAAAAATTAAAACAATTGTTTTCTTTGTTGATTTCGGAAAAGCAAAGCAATTAATGTTTTGAATTTTCTCTTGATAAGGCAAACATGTTTGGCTGGCTGGCGAAGAAGTATCAACATTATTATCAAACCTAGATCGAACTTAGAGAAGGATAACATCGGTCCACTCCTTCTTGTACTCCCCCCACACAGAAGGTCAGAATTTTCACAGAAAATAATTTTCCCATAGAACAATACAAAATCATCAAATATATTCAGTGTTGGGTCAGGTGCGAGGTAACAGAAGGAGTGGTTCGACATATTCCATATTCACAGCTGATTTTATGTTAGTAGAAATATTCAGATGTGCGGAGTTTGAAAACAATCGGATACTCGTTTTATGTGCTTCATGTTTATTTATAATTTTGAGTCTTTGTGGGGAAGTAGTGGATCAATACTTACCATCTTCACACCAGATCTTGTGTTAGTAGAAATACAGTTTTTTTGTATTTTATGAGAGGGGAGGTACCAGAGGGAGTTGTCAGATATTTTCCATATTCGCAGCTGATCTTATGTCAATAGAAATATTTAGATGTGTGGAGATTACAAGTGATCGGATGCCCTTTTCGCGTTTTAGGACTTTCATAATTATTTAAACTTATGAGCCGTTGTGGGTAAGGTACCTGAATGAGTGGTTCGATATAATTACAGCTTATTTTGTGTTAATAAAAATATTGGGATATGTGAAATTTGAAAAGAATCGGATGTATATTTCGCATTTTATGAGAACTATAATTATTCAAAATGTTGACCCTAAAAATATTGAGATTTGCAGAGTTTGCACAAAATTCGATTATCTTTTATTGTTCTATACGGTAAGATATTTTCTGTAAATATTTTGACTTTTGTGGGGAAGATACCTGAAGAAGTGGACCGATATTGGTCATATCAGAACTTGAACTAGGTTTGATAATAATACTAATACGATATACAAAGTTTGGATCGAATCGGATAAGAATTTCGAGAGCTATCATGCCTACAGACCAGACGGGCGGACGGCCGACACCCCTAGATCGACCCCAAATGTGCTGAATTGATCCAAAGATACCTAGGGTTTACACTTGTTTTTTTTTTCGATGAAACACGTTTTGGTGCTATAAAATGATAAATACCCTATGTAGCCATAAAGCTGAGGGTATAATGAGATAAGTCGGTCCACGATTTCCCGTAGCGCCCATATAACGCTATCTCTCGTTCTCGTACTATAGTCCCCTTTCAATTGTATCTTCCTTTGTTCGTAGTAATGGCACGATTCAGCAATAATCGTTAATTTCCCTTTCACAAATTGAATTCATATAATAATCAATGGACCAGGATCACAAAAAGATTCATCTCTAGGCACCAAAACGTACATCATCGAAATAACGGTTTAAGACCCTAGGTTTCTTTGGACCAAATCCGTTTCAGGACATTTGGAGTCGGTCTAGCGATCGGTTCATTCCTTCTGGTACCTCTTCCACAAAAAGTCGGAATTTTCAATATATTTTACTGCACAGAAAGAGGAAGGATAATCCGATTTTGTTCCAACTTTGCAAATCTTCTTATATGTATCAGTGCTAGGTTAGGTGCGAAAATGGACAATATCGGTCCACTCCATCAAGTATCTCCTCCACAAAGGTTACAAATTTTGAATAATTATAACTTTTATAAAATGTGATGTAAGTGTTCAATTGTCTTAAAATTACATACATCACAATATTTTTATTAACGCAATGTTTGGTGTGACCCTCACAAAGGGTTAATATTTTGAATAATCAAAACGATCATAACATCCGAAATAAACATCCGGTTCGCCTCATATTTAACACATCACATTATTTTTATTAACACAAGATCTGTTGTGAAAATGGGATATATCGATTCATACACTCTGGTACCTCCTCCACAAATTGAAATTGATACCATGAAACTCATGAAACACGAAATTAACATCCGATTCCATTCGGATTTGAAAAATCTCAATATTTCTATTCACACCAGATCTGTTATAAAGATGGTACAGATCGGAACATTCCTTCTGGTACCTCCCCCACAAAGGATGAACATTTTGAATATCAATAGCGCTCATAAAACGCGCAATTAATATTTCCATCAGCGCAAGATGTGTGGTAAAAATGGGAGGGAACCGACCATTTCTTCTTGTACATGCCCCGTATAGGGTTCAAGAATTTAAAGAAAAATCTCTGAAAGAAAGCGAAATAAGAATCCAACTCTCTTTAAACTGCACACATACAAATATTTTTGCTAACGCAAGATCTGTTGTGTATATGATATATATCTGCGAGCCCCTTCAGGTACCTCACCCTCAAAAGGTCAGAATTTCAATACCTTTTTCTGTCTCATATAAAGTGAACGAAGTAACCAATATAGTCCAACAGTATTAATAATCATAATAGATGTCATTATTATCGAACATTTGACTGTTGTCTTGTTACCCTGTAGGCAGAAAGCAAATCAGAAAAAAAATTTAGCATACTTTCAGGCGAAATTTATTGAATTACTAGAGAAAAACGATTTAATATTAACCCTTAAACCACTACCAAAGTTGAGCGTATCTGTTGTTAAATTTAATGTCCAAACAGGATAATTCAAAGTAGATTTAATAGTATTCGGTTTGTAGATAAAAAAAAAAATGTGAAGAAAGACCAAAGTCGTTTATGTATTTGCATGTATAGTAGAGCAAAATATAACGCCTTTATGGGGAATTTATGAGAGTTAAATCCATCCTATTTGAATGAAATCGGATGAAGATATATGTGGGAGCTTTTTCCAAATCTGAACCGATCTCTATAAAATTTAGCAGAGGTATTTCTATGAGAGCTGCCACCAAATACCGCTGTTGTGGAGAGTATTTTACGGAAAATCTCATGAAAAATCTGATGAAACGTATATATGGGACTTAGCTATATCTCAACCGATTTTCACCAAATTTGATACACTTTCTTCAAGACTAAATTCGTTTGTATGTGCCGAAATCCATGCAATTCGGGCTTATATTACCCATTTCGTTCACAATAAACTTGAAATCTAGTCAAGATATATATGGGAGTTATATCCATATCTGAGCCGATCTCGATAAAATTTGTCAAAATTATTATATGTTTAAATTTTTTCTCCGAGTATCGTTGTTACGAGTGCAGTGCATATCACGGCTGTGGAGGAGAAATATAACAAATCTGAACCGATTTCCATCAAATTTGACACACTAGTTTCTACGCCCAATTTGGTTATACGTGCCAAATGTCATCCTATTTGGACTAATATTAATATTTGGTGCACAATAAAATGCAAATGTGGCGAAAATATGTGGGAGCTATATCTAAATTTTGACCGATTATTTCCATATTCAATAGGGTTCGCCATTGAACCAAACAAATGTTTTGTACAAAATTTTATCTTGATTTTTGTTTACAAAAATACATGGACAGAGGGACGGACGTCGATCCAGAATGTGATTCTATGCAGATCACCAATAGGAAGTAAAAGTCTAACACGCTTCCTTCGCTATGTTTGCAATAGGAATATTTCATAAGATTTAATATAGAGTTTTGAAATTTGATAGCGAGCTTCGGATTGCTTCAAGAATCACTGGTTTATAAAGTAAAGAAAAAAACATTAAGTTCCGGGCCAAAAATTTAATACCCTCCATATTAGGGTAAACGAAACATTTTAATATAAAAGTATCTGAACTCAAGCGTGTTTCACTTTAAACTTCATATACCACTTAGACCGTTGGGATAATGCAGTTAACCTTATCAAAAAACCACAAAGTGATTGAGGCCGTTGTATGGGGCCATACAAAAACGGGAACCTCTACAGACAATTTTATACCTTAAGGATTGTCATTTATCAAATTTTCAAAAATACCAAATTTGAAATAATTATGTGCGTAAATGTGACTAGGATTATCAAAATACCGGATATCGGTGAGTATCGTTATATATGGGGGCTAAACCAAAACGTGGACCTATACATGCAATGTTTCGCCACACGAGCTAGAAACTCTTATGACCTACAAATATCAATTTTTAGACAAATCCGTGGGAAAATGTGCAAAAATCAACAAAATACCGAATGTCGAGAGTTACTGTTATATGGGACTACACCAAAACGTGGACAGACATATCTAATTCTCAATACTAACCATACTAGATACAATACAAATTGTCCTACTAAATTTCGACGCTATACATCTAATAATATGGGCTCTATCGCGATTTCAACAGACAGACGGATAAATATGGGGTCTACGACGAATATGTTACAAACAGAATGACAAAGTTAATATACCCTCCTGTTCACGTAGGAAGGTATAAATATGGTGCATTTTGGTTAACCATCTGTAGCCATAAAAAGAGGGCCCAAAAAGATATCACTTCAAATGGTTTTCTACATTCAAAATACTTTCTCAATTTCTCAAATACTTTCTTATCGTTCCAATATTGTTTCAGAGCAAAGACCTTACCTATATTGAGTATAAATTCTAGGTTCGCAGTAACACATGTATCGTTGGGGTTAAACTAAGTTTGCTGAATTCCTAGCTGCCGACATTTATCTCTGCAGTTCGACACCCTTACGCTGAGGCACGTTTTAAGCGTGCTATAAAAACATCAGCAGATAAACAGTTATAAACCAAATTTTCGAGCAGGCAATTTTTTGTATAAAAGCAACAGATGGTATGACAACAGCATTGAATTCAATTCTCTCTCACTTGGAGAAAACTAACAGCACTAGAAAAATATTTAAAATGACATCATCTTCCTTGAGGATATCATTTTTGTTGGTATTGCTTTTGAATATTTTCATCGGAATTTCAATGCAAAATTGGGACGATTGCCGCGAAATTACCATACAAAAGCGTACCGATGGCTCTGTGGATTTTTATCGGCCCTGGTCGGATTACAAACGTGGTTTCGGCGATTCGTCCAATTTTTTCCTCGGATTGGACGAGATAAGTCGTCGCACCAATAGCTGTCCCCATGAACTGCTGTGTGTCATGGAAAATTGGGATGGAGATCGACGTTATGCCAATTATGATTCGATAATTGTGGGCGGCGAAGGCGAGAATTATAAACTAAAATTTTTGGGTAAGTATACTGGATCGGCTGGAGATTCGCTGTCATATTCGGTGGGACAGAATTTCACCACAATCGATCGTGACAACGATGCATGGGTTGGCAATTGTGCTATTCGTTACACTGGAGCCTGGTGGTACAAGGATTGTCATCAATGGTAAGGGGGGGTTTAATATTTCATTATATACCCTCACATTATAATCATGCATGTGAATGCATGTCCACTTTTCTTGCAGCAATCCCAATGGCCTCTACGGCAATAATGAATTTGGCAAAGGCATCAACTGGTTGACATTTATGGGATATAACTACTCCATGAAATCGATTGAGTTGATTTTGAAACCCAAATGTGGTTGCTGATAAGGAGGAGTTTTCGTTGAAGCATTTTTTTTTTTGTATTAAAGTTTTTAATTAAATTTTTTGTGTGATATAACTATTAACAAATAAAAAACATATTTAACATAAATAACTTTTTGATGTTAAAACTTGGTTATAAAATCAAATTATTGACGATAAGCGATTTAATAAACTTATTTCAGAGATTATAAAATAAAACAAGTAAAAGAACAGCTTAGTTCGTCCGGTCCGAACCTTTAATGTCGAATGGAATATTGCGATATGTTCAGCTCACGAGCCATTTTTTGGCCACTGCGACGCGGGTTTCGATCAAGTCGCTTCTTTACTTTTCAAACCGTTTCTGCTGATGATGCTGTTTTCTTCTGATGTCGTGAGATGAACATATCGCAATATTCCATTCGGCAAATATTGAAAAATGAACTCGGGGTAAAGCCATTGAAATTTCAAAAAGTGCAAGAACTTACAACGCAAAAAAAAGAAAATAGACTCAAAAGAGCTAAAGAGTTGCTTCGCTTGGCCGAAAGTGTTGAACTGTCGAATTTGGTTTTCTCCGATGAGAAAACATTCATTGTCCAGCAGTTTGTAAACAAACAAAATGAATGATGATCGTGTTTTCTTGCAAAAGAGGTCAGCTGAAAATGTGTCGGTTGGCCACTAGAACTCAACCGCCGGCCATGGTGATGCTGTGGGCCACCATAACAGCCGATGGTCGCTCTCCGCTGGTATAAATCGACCGTGGCATTGGAATTAGTGCCGAATATTATCGCAAAAATATTCTGGAGGATATATTAAAGCCTTGGGTACGCAAAAATTTTGGCCCCAGACTTTGGACATTCCAACAGGACTCAGCACCATTGCACTCAGCACGCGCCACCCAAGAATGCTTACAAAATGTGGTTCCTCGCTTCATTTACAGCGGACAATTGCCACCAAAATCTCCGGATACCAATCCGTTGGACTATTATGTCTGCAGTATTTTGGAAAGCAAGGTTTGCACTAAAAAATACCAAAGTGTCGATCACCTCAAGCAAATGCTTCGCCAGGAATGGGCCAAAATACCACAGAACAACATTCGGGCAGCGTGTGACGGCCGTTTGAAGGCTATAATTCGTGACAAAGATGACTAATTCGAACAAATCTAAACTTATTCTAAAATTTGATGCTATTTGATTTGATGATCAATAAAATTAAAAAAAAAATGTAAAAATTATGGCGTTTGAATTTGTTGCAGTTTTTTATCTCACCCTGTATAGAAATTTCATATATCAAAGAAGGGTATGTTAGTTAGACCTTTTAAATCTCAAGAATGCCCGGACGGATTTTGACAACTCTCACCAATTCGGAATTGTTTTTTTTTTTTTGGCAAAAAAGACAAGGAGAGCAATCTAAAATTTTGCACTGATCTAACATTTGTCTGCAGGCAGGTCAAGCAGAGGAACTATAATGGTCACTATATCGTAAAGCCCCTATATAGAGGTACATCCCGATATTCGTTAGTTTGATGATTTTTTCAATGGAATTGTCTGAAAATCTACACAAGGAGTATTTTACCACCTAAAGAGAATTGTCTATATAGACCCACGAAATCGTATGTCCCCCATAAAACAATACCTCCCAATATTCGGTATTTCGATGATTGTAGCCACATTTTTTTGAAATTGTCTGAAATTTCACACAAGGAGTTCCTTGTGAGTACTTTACTTCCTGGAAAAGAATTGTGTATATAGGTCCACGATATCGTATAACCCACATACAATGGTACTCCCCGATATTTGATATTTTGATGATTTTAGACAAATTTTTCAATGGAATTGTCTGAAAATCCACACAAGGAGTTGTTTATAAAGGTCCACGATATCGTATAGCCCCCGTACAACGGTACTTTCCCTTATTTGATATTTTTATGATTAAGTTAAAGTTAAAGTTTATATTGGTAACTACAGCCTATAACAAAAAATTGCGCATGCTAGTTTATGTCTTCGTATAGCCACCACATTACGATACCTCCTGATATTCTGTATTTTGATGATTTTAGGGACATTATTCACCGAAATTACTATTATGACAACAACCTATGACGGAAAGTTGTCTATGTAGATCCTCGTCTTCATATAATCCACGGCACCTCCATGGAATCGGTATTTTGATGACATAAGCAACATTATTTACCGGAATTGTTTCAAATTTTTTATTTGAAGTTCGCAATGGTTACTACAGCCTATCATAATCTAGCACCACGTCTTCGTATAGCCACCATATAAAGGTTTTCATTTGAGCTGTATTTTTCGACGGAATTTTTTTTTTTAATTTTTTCCTTCCGAATGGTAGAGTGTATAAAAAGTTCTGCCCGAACGAAATTGTTTAATTTTCCTTGAATTATATTGAACTAGCTGGCCCGGTCCGCGTTGCCGGCCCGTACTTTTAGCCTTTAAAGCATAATAAATCACAGATCTGACTTATGTAGGCAGCACAATTTTGATTATAAGTAATGACTCCATTATAATTGACTTGATTATGAGTAATGATTCCATGACTAAATATAAATTAATATTCATGGCAAAAATTATAATTACCGTCGGTTTTAGATATTTTGAATAGCCTGATTTTATTTTTCAGCTATAGGCTTTAATTTGAGTGTTTAATACCTATATGATAAAGAACATCTATAATAGCCCCATGTGAAAATTCAGCTCAATTTTTGATATTGTAAAAATTGAATGCTTTAGCTATAATTTGAAATTTTTATTTCCAACCTTTAAAATCCCGTACTGCGTGGTATTCAGTTTTGTCCACCTCATACTTGAAGGCAGAATGTTGTCAGAATAGCCAAAAAAATTACTCTTTTGCTCCGATTACCGTAAGATGGGCATTTATTGTTTGTCATTTAAATTGTGCGGTGGAGATTCAACAAAGTTACTTTATAATTTCGTATTTTTTTCATGTTTCTGCCACAATTTCCGACTGAATGAGTCCCAGATTGACATTTCGGAGTTTATTTCATATAGACGTACATCCCAAATCTACGTTCCCAACCAATATTCTCTTGCGTTCCCAACCAATATTCTTCAAATTCAATAGAATACCAAATTTTCTTTTCTGACCACACATTGGTTGGGAAAGTGGACTTGGGGGTATACTAATGTGGGGACTATACTTAAATAAATTCCTATGAGGATAATTATCTGTAAGATGATTTTCTACTCCAGGATTTTTTACCCCAGGTAGCCTCAAGACTAAGATGCGCACTTTTTCCGAAAAATAAAAACTTATAAGAAGAGGTTTTCTTCCCCCTTAGAAACAAAGATGTCAAATAAGGGCCAAAAAATGAAAAAAGTGACCAAGACCCCGAAAATACCTTAAATCATATGATTGTGATAGCAAAACGTGATAATTTTTGCAAGTATGGTTTCTTCTTAAATTTTCAACATAAGAAATATACTTGAAATCGGTTGAAGCAGGTCCACTTTTTGAAATTAACCCCATAACGCTTCTTTGGTCATTTTTGTTTGTTTAAATGTGTTCGCATCTTCCAGCTGAAGCACGATGTAGGTCCTGGAGTAGAAAGCATTTAATATCGTATTGCGCCCTCATTTCATTTTTAATATTATTCATTCAGAATTCAAAGCAATAAAAAAATGCTTCAATATAGAAAAAAGAAAAAGAATCTTCAACTGGTTCGCTGATTTTTTTTTGCGGCAAATTTTTAAAGGTCCTTACGAAGTTTGTCGGTAGAATGTACTAATATTTTGAAATTCGATTCCATTGAAAAATTGTCGATTTTTCCCGATTTTAGAAATTTCATATAAAGCGACAACGGATAAAATTGTTATTTATAGATTTTATGTATTTATTGGGTATTACGAATAAATACATAAAATCCATAAATAACAGTTTTATCCGTTGTGGCTTTACTACCCAAAAAAAACCTTCACATCATTTTAGAATTCAAAAAAAAAAAAAAAAAAAAAAAAAAAAAAAAAAACGCTACAAATGTACATTCGAAAATAGTGAGTCAAAATAGAAAAAAGGCTATATAAAACATTAATATTGTACATTTCAAAAGTCAAAATGAAAATGTTCAAATTTCACATACGCGATTTTTTTTGGATTTTATTCTTTTTTGCCAAGAGGCAATTCCGAATTTGTATAAATCGTTAAAATCACACAACTTTCTTTTACATATAGAGAGATAGATTTAAAAGTAGACGCGTTCCTCAGCCCCTAAATAAGTACTTAGGGTTGGATGGAAAGCCAACAGCATCTCGTGTAATAATTCTCAAACCGATATCTTCACTATTTTGGCAAATATAAAGATTTTAGATAAATCGTAATAGTGGGCGTGGTCAATATTTTTTTCTTTAAAAACCTAACTCGGGGTATGACGAACGTTTGTACAAAAAATTATGCAAATCGGTCCAGCCGTTTCCAACTGATTCCGTTACCAACAAACAACAATTGATTTTTATATATATAGATTGTAAATTTTGCAATATTTTTGTTTTATTATAATCAGGTCGCTATTTCGTCCAAACCAAAATAAAATTTTTGCAGAACTTTGTGACATTATTTCAAGAATGAAATTATAATTAAATGCTCAATATGCAATAAATTGTTTCCGAAAGGGCTATTTAAACATAACCAATGCCGCGCGACCATATGCATTAACTCTTTCCAACTTCCATTGTCTTTAAGATAGCATTTATTAATTTAAAACATTAAAATAAATATTCGATTACATTCAATTTTTTTGAAATACTTTTAGGTTGGTCGCAAAATCATTTCAACAAATTTCAAAGAATAATAATGTCCTCGAAAGAGTTCCCAATCCACGCCCTTGGCATATTCCTTGGTTTGTCCCTTTAGATAACTACCGTTAAGATTACTAAAAAGGATAATTGCAAAAATTACAACATCTAATTTATAAAGTTTCATATTGTAATAATTACCTTCGATGACATTCCTTATACCACCAAGCGCCGGTGTATTCAACAGCACAACTTTTGCTCCACGAATCATTATCTTGATCCTTGGTGCTGAATTT